CACAAAAAGTCTCCAGGATATGGGAAAAGAAATAGACACAATGAAGAAAAGTCGTAACCGAACTCCTGGAAATGAAGAATCAATTCAAGGAACTACAAAATACAGTGGAAAGTCACAAGAACAGAGGTAGATCAAACAGAAGAAAGGAATCTCAGAGCTCGAAGATAACACCCTCCTAATTAAATAAATCAGTCACAGAAATAGGAGCGAGAAACAAGAAGAAAGAGCAAGCTACAAGAGCTGTGGATGGGATTATGTGAAGAAAGCCTAATGTGAGAGGGTCATAGGGTTACAAGAAGGGGAAGAGAAAACACTCAAGGATCTCATGATGAAGACTCAGTCTTTTGGGGGGAGGGGGGGAAATGGGCATTTATTGAAACCTTAAAATCTGTACCCCCATAATATGCCGAAATAAAAAAAAACAACAATATGTAGAATATGCTCCTGTTCTTGCCTAAACGAATATATTTACAAAGCTACGAACACACACACGTATGTATGCATATGCATACATGTTAGAAGCATGTAGAAAAACACAATGGTTAATCTCCAGATGCTGGGATTATGGGTGTGTTTTCTTTCAAATTATATATATATATATATTCATATTTCTCTACAGGAGTGTGAATCATACAGTGCTTTTTTTCTAGAAAAACAGAAAGAGAAGCTTCCGAGTCACATGCTCAGGGCAGGTCAGGAAGCAGCGAGAGCCGGCGGCAGCAAGACCACAGGAAACTCGGTGGGGCTGGGTGTCGTGCCTCCGGCCCCGAGTACCTGCCTAATCTCGGCTCACCTAGACACGGCTAAATGCCATTCCCTGGGCTTCCAATAAGGCTGGGAAGCACGTGAACCGCTTTGTAAAAATTCGTACTAAAAAAGTAATTTAAGGCGTTCTTTATGTTAGACTCATGGGCAGCTGCAGCGATCTGAAAAACTCACCATCACGTCCTCCTGTTCCTGACAGCTGGAGGTGTGCGTGGCCTGGGTCACCGTGCGCTGTGTCCAGCCCGGTGGCCCAGGCAAGGGCAGCACCAGAGCACGGTCTCCCCGAGGGGAAGCTGGATTGGCACTCGTCTGCCCAGAGGAGAACTGCAAGGGCCTCCTACATTCTGCGTAAATCTACAACTCCCAGTGTTGCACTAGAAACCCTCTCACTGCAATGAGACCAGGAGCACTTTTCTCACTAAAGCCACCGTGACACAGTCATCCAAAGCCAAGAGCCCAAGAGCAGCTGCTTCTCATCTAATTTTCCTTGTCCTTCCATTTAATGAAATGAAATTTCAAATTTATTCTATCAAAGTGTTGTATAAGTCATTTCTATGGCCACATTAAGGGCATATTATGGCACTCAATTAATTTTAAGTAAATTTCTACGCTAAACCGGGGTCTCTTGGGAAGCTTCTTCGATTTTCCCACTAATATATTTCGACCGAAACAGAAAATTCCGTGAAAGAATAACTTACAGACGTTGGGTTCTTCCACTCTGCATTGCTGTATTGCAGAATAAGGCTAAAATAACTTAGCAAAATGAACACTGAGCAAAAGCAAAACCCATCTCTACTAAAAATATTAATAGAAAAATTAATATGTCATGGTGCATATTATGTCATGACATAATTAATATGTCATGGTGCATATCTGTGGTCCCAACTACTTGGGAAGCTGAGGCAAGAGAATGGCTTGAGCACAGGAGTTTGAGGTTGCAGTGAGCTATGATGACACACCTGCACTCTAGCCCAGGTGACAGAGCAAGACTCTGTTCTCAAAAAAAAAAAAAGGTAAGAGCTTGCACATTTATCAGAAATAATTCCCACAATTGCTTAATTCTATGAATTACACAGAAGAAACTCATTTAGTTCTGGTAGGTTGTGCAATTGCAACAATGGATCTTTCCCCTGGGAAGAGGATGGAGGAAGCCCTGGAATCATCTCGAGAACACCTGGGTTCAGTCCAAGCTCTGTTGTGAGTTGGAGAGGCAGGTGTTGGGTCTACTCTGCCTCACACGGTTGCTACTTGTCCATTTTCCCAGACGAGACCTTACGTGTGCGAACACGCTGAGAACACGAGCCCCAGTCCTGTGGTAATACCATCAAACGTGATGATGAAGCACCTCGAGGACTGAAATGACTTCCCAGTGCATGATGTGACGTGGGGACGTCACCCCACCTAGGCGGATACGGCCGTGTGCACAATCGAGAGTGGGGAGGCTCACGAAGAAATCCCTACAGTCCTACGACTTGAGGTACAGCTTGAGCCCCCCTCCGAAGCGAGGCATTGCGAGGACGGAAGAACAGGCTCCTCGCGTCACGTAGCACTGACCGATCGACGCTACGGTGCTCACACAGCAGTAATAGTCTTTGGGGTGGGGAGGGGTTGGGTAAACTCACAACTAACGGACGCGGTGGGCATTGTAGGGGGGAAGGGCAGGTCTCAAATCATGGTTGGGATGTGTCAACTTCATAACATGCCACCAAAATGTTTGCACCCCCATAATTTACTGGGAAGGAAGGAAGGAAGGAAGGAAGGAAGGAAGGAAGGAAGGAAGGAAGGAAGGAAGGGAAGAAGGAAAGAAGGAGAAAGAGAGAAGAAAGAAAAGAAAAGAAGAAGGAAGGAAGAAAGAAGGAAGGAAGGAAGGAAGGAAGGAAGGAGGAAGAAGGAGAAGGAAGGAAGGAAAGGAGGAAGGAAGAGAGAAAGAAAGAAAAAAGAAGAAAGAAAGAAAGAAAGAGAAGAAAGAAGAAAGGAGAAAAAAGGAAGAAGGAAGGAAAGGAGAAGAGAGAGAAGAAGAAAGAAAAAAGAAAGGAAGGAAGGAAGGAAGGAAGGAAGGGAAGGAAGAAGGAAAAGGAAGGAAGGAGAGGAGAAAGAGAGAAAGAAGAAGGAAAAAGAAAAGAAGAGGAAGGAAGAAGGAGGAAGGAAGGAGGAAGGAGAAGAAGGAAGGAAGGAGAGAAGAAAGAAAGAAAAGAAAAAGAAAGAAAGAAAGAAGAGGAAGGAGGAAGGAAGGAAAAGAGAAGGAAGGAAGGAAGAAGGAAGGAAGGAAGGAAGGAGGAAGGAAGGAAGGAAGAAGGAGGGGAAAGAAAGAAGAAAGAAAGAAAGAAGAAAGAAGAAAGAAAGAAAGAGAAGAAAGAAAGAGGAAGAAAGGAAAGAGAAAGAGAGAAAGAGAGAGAAAGAAAAAAAAAGAAAAGAAAGAAGAAAAAAAGAAAGAAAGAAAGAAGAAGAAAAAGAAAGAAAGAAAGGCCACACTTTGGAAAGCCAAAAAAGAGAAAACAAAGCCCTGTGACTGGGCATATGGTATCTGGTCGGAGCACCTCCATCCCGGGCCTAGGAGGGAGGATCGCTCCAGGTCAGGACTTCCAGACCAGCCTGAGCAAGAGCGAGACACCGTCTCTACTAAAAATAGAAAGAAATTAGCTGGATAGCTAAAAATATATAGAAAAAATGAGCCTGGCACGGTGGCGCATGCCTGTAGTCCCAGCTACTCAGAGAGCTGAGGCGGAGGATTGCTTGAGCCAGGAGTTTGAGGTTGCTGTGAGCTAGGCTGACGCCACGGCACTCACTCTAGCCTGGGCAACAGAGCGAGACTCTGTTTCAAAACAAAAAAAAAGAAAGTTAGAAAAAAAATAAAATAATAATAAAAAATTATCCATGCCACCTCATCTCTCTGGAGCAGAGTGTCCTCAACTAAAAACAAGAAGTTTGACAAGATAATCTGAAGGTTTCCACCCTGTCCTAAAATGTCACCTTTTAATCATATTTTATGTAAATCGCTGAAATGTTCAGAGGATGAACATAGATTCAATCCTCCAACAGATGCTCTCGGGGGTCATTGCCAGAACGGTTGCTTTAATCCCACTCCCAGCCCCGCACGGAGAGGGGCAGACAGGGACCCAGGTGTCGAGAATAATCGTGTGCCTTTTCCACTCTCTTTATTAAGGTAGCCCTGAAATTCAGTGACGGCCAGAGTTGCTTTCTAGTTGGAAACTTGCTCTCTCCCCTGCCCTTGGAAAGTCACACTTTAGAATGGGTAACATAATAAACTTCGCTTCACTGCCCTGAAAGCACAGACTCGTAAGGGAGCAGCTAAACTCTCGTGCAGGCAGGTGCTCAGGAATAACGCCGGAGCTGCTAGCGCGTCCCTCACCGGCACCGCGGATGGATGGTGATCCAGGGACGCAGAGCAGCCCGGCCTCTTTCAGACGTTGGAAGAAGAGAAACAACATCTACCTAGTTGCCGGTACATTACCTGTATTTTATCATTTAATCCTTCTAACAATCCCCTAAGGTAACAATTATCATCTCCATTTCATGGAGGAGGAAATTTAAGAATGGCAAGATTGCAACATAGAGAAGTAGGTCCCGGCTAAACATCTCACCTGTGTAATACTCCCCAAAATAAGTCCATTTAAAAAAAAAAAAAAAGTAAAAATCATCTTAAATTCTAACTATCAACAGGCTATCTTGCTTAAAACCTTGTGCTTCTTTTTGGCTTACAAAAAAGGCACATCTCTTTTAACAAAATAAATGTTTATTCTTACTAAGAATCAAGTGATGTGAGTGGAATGAGGGAATGTTCTATCCTGTGGACCTTGTAAATCTCTATCAGGTGCAAAAAGGTTGAGAAGTTGGGGCAAATGGTTAAACTTAGCATTATAATTAGCATCAACACTGCATAACTTTAAGTAACTTTTCCAAAACTCCCAAAACAAAAGGAAAGTGAAAAGTTTTAATAAACAATTGCATGGTATTCCTCAAAGAGACTATCTCCCCATGCATGGCCTTAGGACTTTTTCACTGACTTCCAGCACCTCCTTTTCACCTCAGTACGTTGACAGTGAGCCTATGACAAACTCTCACTGTGAATTCTGACTTTAAGAGCAACGTGTCTTTATAAGCATTCCCTACTTAAACACTGCGTTGTAAAACGTTGATTATTCAATACTGGCATTTACATTTTTACCAAATCATCCGATTAATCCCACCCCTAGTAGTTAGAAGCAAACACTTACTTCCTTCAACTTTTTCATCTTTGCAGGTTTCCTGGGAACTATATGAATATAACTGCAAAAGAAGAAAGATGAAAACATGATTAGACGGTAAACATTTAGATAGTTTGAGCCTCTTTAGAGATGATTCTTTTTCAACATGAAAACATAACAACCCGGCCGGTGTGGTGGCTCACGCCTGTCATCCTAGCACTCTGGGAGGCCGAGGCAGCAGGATTGCTCGAGGTCAGGAGTTCAAGACCAGCCTGAGCAAGAGCAAGACCCCCGTCTCTACTAAAAAAAATAGAAAGAAATTAGCTGGACAACCAAAAATCTATACAGAAAAAATTAGCCAGACATGGTGGCGCATGCCTGTAGTCCCAGCTACGCGGGAGGCTGAGGCAGGAGGATCGCTTGAGCCCAGGAGTGTGAGGTTGCTGTGAGCTAGGCTGACGCCACGGCACTCTAGCCCAGGCAACAGAGCGAGACTCCATCTCAAAAATAAAACACACAACCCCGACAGCAATTTGGAACTAGAGCCAAAGCTTCCTCAGAGCTGGGATCCATGTCGGTCACGGTAGCAAAGCTACGGCAGGAGCGTTTCATACTGGGCATCACCCGCACTGCCCAGTAGAAGCCCTCTGGTAGACGACACTGCTTTCCCCCATATAACTTAACTACAGAGAAACCCCAGAATCACCGAGTTCAACAACAGCCTTTTTAACCAGGTCGCTGCAAGCCCAGAATGACAAGCCCATCGGTGTTCCCAAGACAGGCGTGCCTCGGATCAGAACCTGGACCCCTCACCCCGCTCCCCTGCTCGGCCAGCCCTCCCTCCCTCCCTCCCTCCCGCCGCAAGGCATTCTCCCCGCTGCCGCCCTGCCAAAACCTCAACTGGAAAGCAGTCGCCAGAATGAAGTTTGTGTACATCCCACCAACACAGTTTTCGACCGTTGGGGGCTCTCGGAGGGCCTTCCATGTGCCTCAAAAATAAAACAAAATGTTTTCAAGGACAATTACTGACACCTGAAGATTTATATCTGATGCTAAGGTTTCTTCCTGATTTAAAAAAAAAAAAAAACATAATGATATATTTGAGACCGTTGTCATTTTTGATGGTTTTAGCAATATTCAAAGGAGGATTGACTTAAGAGTTGGTGGATGGAAGGAAAAAGAAGTAAGTATTCAGCAGAGAGTAAGGCGCCACAAACTCGGATCCCTGCAGGGGCCAGGTGAGTGGCGGGCGGCACTCCCCGGGGTGGGTGTCAGGGAGGGGTGCGGGCTGCGGCCAGCAGGACAGTCCGTCCCTCCCGTGTGGGACGCACACAGCTTCACACGTGTAGGCCACTGGACATTCGGGCAACTACAGTCCAGTCATCTTGACCAATCGAACCCTCTATTTCATTCCAATAGAAACCAAAAGTTTATATTATTACATGAACTCTCCCAGTTATAAAATGTTACAGCCAGTTCAAATCTTTGATAATTGCGGGAACCGGAGAAAAAAAACAAAAAACACGCTGCCGGCCGAGCTCAGCCTGCGACTGTGCAGCACACGGCTCCGGTGAGGGCCAGGCCCCACGTCCACTCTCCACCAGCCCTCCGTCTTCCTGCTTTTCCAAATAGGCATTTCACATTAGTTCTAAATCCCCAAATTCCATATTTGTTTGTGAACAGTGATCTCCAAATGAGACAACCAATTACTAGTTTTTTTTTTTTTTGAGACAGAGTCTTGCTTTGATGCCCAGGCTAGAGTGAGTGCCGTGGTGTCAGCCTAGCTCACAGCAACCTCATACTCCTGGGCTCAAGCGATCCTCCTGCCTCAGCCTCCCGAGTAGCTGGGACTACAGGCATGCGCCACCATGCCTGGCTGATTTTTTCTATATATATTAGTTGGCCAATTAATTTCTTTCTGTTTTTTAGTAGAGACGGGGTCTTGCTCTTGCTCAGGCTGGTTTCAAACTCCTGACCTCGAGCAATCCACCTGCCTCGGCCTCACAGAGTGCTAGGAGTACAGGTGTGAGCCACCGCACCTGGCCAACCAATTACTATTAAATGGAAACTAAAAATACAGACAAAGGGAAGCATCAAAGGATCTTAGGAAAACACAAAATATTACTGTCTCAGGGTCGTGCTCCTGAGGACACACGCACAGAGCAGGGAGAGGAAACAAGCAATTCCTCGGAGACCCGGTGACCTGGGCTCTTTGAGCCAGGCACTCGGACAAGCCTGTTGGGTGGGCGAGGGGCCCTGCCGGTGGCAGGGGCAGGTGTTTGAAGCAGAGACGGGACGGCCGTGTGCAGCCGCCCTGCTGGCTGCTTCCCGGGACACAGGGAGGGAGGAAAGCGCCCGAGAACCGGTGCCGGCGGCTCACGGCGCCACGCTCATTTGATTCCCACAAGGGCACCACGGAACAATGCCAACCAACCCCACTTTATGGGTAAGGAAACGGGGTCTCAGAGAGGTTATTCAATCTGCTGAATGTTACTCAGGTGCAAATACCCAGGATCCAGTTCCTTCCAGGCCTCTGGCCCTGAGGACAGCGTCCCTCTCTCACCTGCCTCAGCTTCCTCCTTCCCTGTCACCCGATAGTCCCCGGGTACGCACGTTGGCGAGGGAGACTGGGGGGGTGGGGGCTGGGGTGCGGAAGAACCGGGATGGTTCGATTGAAACAGCACTTTCACATTTATGTCTCAACACAAGCTCTTAAGGTGAATAGGGCAATATTCCAATTAAAATTCTTTGGGTCCCTCCCCGAAACACACGTACATGCACACACGTGCAAGCACACGCGTGTGCACAAAAACACAGTACCCTGATGTAGACCGTGCTGTGAATATGGCTGTCTCCACAAAAGAAACATTAACTCTAGGCTTTATGGGACATTTATATTTTTTGAAAAGTGATTATTAGCATATGTATAACATTTTTTGTTTTACAGAGAAAAAAATCATGTTCTTCATCTCAAATTAACTTATTCCAGGAAATGCAGGAAACGTCTAAATAATGATTGGATACTAGATAGATTTTATGGTGTTTATCTTTTCAATGCACCGTCTCACAGCCATTGTTAAAAGGGGAGGGCCCCGCTGGGCGAGGTGGCTCACGCCTGTAATCCCAGCACTCTGGGAGGCCAAAGAGGGAGGACTGCTCTAGGTCAGGAGTTTGAGACCAGCCTGAGCAAGAAGGAGACCCCGTATCTACCAAAAAGTAGAAAAAATTAGCCGGGCATGGTGGCGCATGCCTGTACTCCCAGATACTCAGGAGGCTGAGGCAGGAGGATCGCTTGAGCCCAGGAGTTTGAGGTTGCTGTGAGCTAGGCTGACGCACAGCATTCTAGCCTGGGCAATAAAGTGAGACTCTGTCACAAAAATAAAAAAGGGGGAGGACCGGGATTGTTGATAACATCAACTGTATTCACAGATAACATCGTGAATATATCAAATGGCTTCACATCAAAGTTCATTTGCTGGTGACACCGTTAGAATATTATTTTCTGGTGAAAATTAACTTTAATTGTTCAGTGGTTTAGTAATTACAAAATAGAAATTCCCAACTTTGCGGATACCTGGGAAAATCCAGCCAACACATTTTTTAGAGCCTTATTCACCAAAGTCTGGATTCCGATTTCACACTTCATTGACCTAAAAAGTAGTGAAGAAAATGAAACCCAAATGCCTCTCCACGTTGAACTTCACATGCAAATGCTACCCATCTAATTTACAGCCAGGAGGGCACACGGAGAATGCAAAACGACCAAGGCTGCCAACCACAGGGGACCCTGCCTCCCCTCCCTGGGCCGAGGCTCATGTTTCCTTCCTCCCGGGAAGTAATGCTAAGCATTAAAAGTGCTGGGAAGGAAGGCACCTCCAAGTTTCTCTCAATATTTTTGCCACAGGTCCAAAACATTTTAAATAAACCATGAGCATCTCTCTCTAACATCAGAGGTGCACAGGGTCTGTTGGAAAAGGCCTGGACCCCAGGGAAGAGGCAAGAGCCCACCACTCCACCCCACCCCACCCCACCCCACCCCCGGGCAGCCACAGGTGGACGGCAGGTGCCTAACCAGTGTCCTTCCTCATCTGCCAACACAGAAACATAGGCCGATTTTACAAGGAAATGTTTTGGGGTAAAAGTTAAATATTTTTCATCATATATGATCAGGAAGGACTTTAAAGTCAATTTTTGCAGAAACATACTCTTTTTGTTGCTGTAAAACAACACTGAATCCTGGATTCTGGTGGGAAATCAGAAGTTCTAGATATCCACGCCACCTGACTAACCCTGGACAAATAACCACAGAATCACTTATCTAGAAAGGGACACAGCGCCGTCTGTGATTTCTCATGTGTAACAGGGTTATTGTAGAAATAAATTCCACTCTAAAATGTCATGACATCAGTCCAGACTCTACCTCTTTGCCACTGGGATGCCTGTGACTTAGGATTTTCCTTTCAAAAACAACAGGATGCTAAATTTGCATCTTTGCAAATGCCGTTAAGAGTTTGGAACCACACATCAGCCCTCACACCAATTTCAAAAAAAATAATAAATTAAAAACTCAAACTGCTCATTTAGTTTATGATATCCTTGGATTGGGAGCATTCCCGGCGTTTGGAAGAAGAAAATAAAATCCTTTCTGGAGAATCTCGCTTTTATCTCAGCCCTTGAAGAATTTCCCTGCATAAGACTATAGAAAAGGAGTAGTTCACAGTCAAAAACTAAGTAAACTCACAAGGAAATAAAGGACCAGAAGGAGAAACCAGCTGAAATAACAGGAAGCAGATACAGGCGTCAATGCCAGGGTGACAGATGCAAACCATGGAGGGACAATATTCCCATGAAAGGCTTGAAACGCACATAGGACCAGGGAACTGTAAACATAAGGTCTGGAGAGGCCCCACCTGCTCTCGCTCCCGATTGCTCTCACTCTCACTCCTGCTCTCCCTCTCACAGCAAGCCGGGGAGACACCGAGTTGCTGTAGCAGGTGGAGCAGGGTGCCTCAGAAGGTTACATCCAGGATGTACCTCGTTTATCCCCATTCTGGGTACAGAATGCGCGCAACTGCGCGCCCACCCCCTTCACGATCCTATTCCCCAGCCCCTTCCTAAAGGTGTCTACAATTGCCATGGCCTGTGGATCGCAGAAGGTGTAGGTTTGCTCACAGGTGCCCGCCGGGCCAACACCTGCGCGCACACACCTGCGCGCGCACACACCTGCGCGCACACACCTGCGCGCGTACACACCTGCGCGCACACACCTGCGCGCGCACACACCTGCGCGCGCACACACCTGCGCGCGCACACACCTGAGCGCGTACACACCTGCGCGTACGCAGCGCAGAAGCCCCGGCGGCGCCGGCGCGGGAGCCTCGGGCCACACCTGGACGGCTGGACGGACAGCAGGACAGCCGGGGGACAGTCAGCGCCCTCCCCCCCGGGCCCGGGCGCACTCACTCGAGCTTCTTGAAGCGCTCGCGGCCCGCGGCCACATACTTGCCGCCCGCCTGCAGCGCGTCCAGCTGCAGCACCTGGTGGCCGTGCGTGGGCGTGTAGAGCCGCCGCACCCCGAACGGCGCCTCCACCTGCTCCGACAGCTGCTCCAGCAGCCCCTCGAAGGTGGCCACGCGGCGCCGCGACAGCACGACCTTCCTGCCCACGAAGAACTGGTCGCCATTGCGGTACACCAGGATGGTCTTGGCGGGCGTGGTGTCCACCAGCGAGTAGGGCGCGCGGGTGCCCATGGCTCGGCTGTCGGAACGCGGGGACGACGCGGGCGCAGCGCACCGAGGCTCCGCACCCAGGCACGGCCGCGCCACGCGCCCTCCTGCAGGCTGCGGGCTCGGGCGGGTCCGGGCGGGGCGGCCAGTGTTGACGCCACCGGCGATTGTGACCGCTGCGCCCAGGAGCGGTGGCGGGGAACCGCACAGGCTGCGCGGGCTCAGGCCAGAGAGGGAGGGGCCGCCCCCGCCCCCGCGGGAGTGGCACGAATGAGGGCGCTGAGCTCGGGCGCCCCCAAGATCCCACCGCCCGGCTGCCCGCCCCAGCGGAAAGGTGGAGGGGCCTTGGGGGCATCAGGACCACGTGACGACCAGAACTGGGTAGGGCTGGACGCCCTTCACCTTTTTCTTTTATTTCAGCATATTATGTGGGTACAAATTTTAAGGTTGCGTATAATGCCCATGCCTCCTCTCCCCCCACAAATCTGAGCTTCAAGCGTGTCCACCCCCCAAATGGTGCACATCTCACTCATTATGTGTGTATATACCCGGCCCCTCCTCCCCCCTCCCACCTGCCCGACACCCAATAAATGTTATTCCTATCTGTCCACTTAGGTGCTGATCAGTTAATGCCAATTTGCTGGTGAGTACATGCAGTGCTTGTTTTTTCATTCTTGGGAGACTTCACGTACTAGAAAGGGTTCCAGCTCTATCCAGGAAAATACAAGAGGTGCTAGATCACCGTTGTTTCTTTTAGCTGAATAGTACTCCATGGTACACATACACCACATTTTATTAATCCACTCATGAATTGATGGGCACTTGGGTTGTTTCCACAGCTTTGCAATTGTGAACTGTGCTGCTATGAACATTCTTGAGCCTCGGCTTCTTTTATCTGATCAGTAGGGAGTGTTTGGCCACGTCAGCCAGCCTGATAACCCACAGGCCACGCGGGGCAGGCTTCCAAATCCCCCGCCTAGGGAAGGTGTCAGGATTCAGGCTCACGGCCCGGCCCTGAGTGAGGAATCTTACTGAGCTCCTCAAACCGTCCACTCACTCCCTGACCTACTGACCTAGAAAAGGACGCTGACTTGTTTCTGAATCATGACGTTTTACTGATTGTCTTGCACGTAAAACATTTTGGCTTGCATGTTGTCACCTGTGGGCCATGACTGTAGCCTCTGTATCGTCCCCTCCCTTCTCCTAGACTTTCTTACGAAAGCCTTCCAACAGGTAGCGGACATTGGAACCAGCCCGACTTTGCCGGCGTGTCTTCCTGGGTCGGCCCTCAAACCGGCTTCCAGCAAACCTTTAACACATTTCTTCTGCCTCAACAGCCTTCATTTCGGTCAACAAGCCCCCAGATCTCCCCGACTCTTGGCTCAGAGCGGGTAACTTCTGCATTTTCCCCGACAGGAGGAGCCGGTGAGACACCGAGTTGCCGGAGCAGCTGGAGCAGGTGTCGCAGAAGGTGACGTCCAGGATGCACCTCGTGTATCCCCATTCTGGGTACAGGTGAGCCAGTCCTCTCCCACTGGGACAGTGAACGAGTCTGGAAATACATTTTCCCCGTGGTTTTGATGGGCTTAAACAAACTTCCGAAGACGATAAGCTGCATATTACCTAACACAGAAGGTGCGGGCTATCGATATTATAAATATCAATATCTTATGTTTTAAAAAGTAATTCCTTAGAGACCATCTAGGATTCACAGCTAGTGTTTAGACCACCAAATGCTTCATGGCAACACTGATCAGTTAGTGAGAAGACCACTTTATTGAATCGCCAGGAGGCACCCGTGTTCAAACACTTGGCCGTGACCGAGTGGTTACCGCCGCGCAGCCGCCACACCGCTCTGCGTGTGGTTAGAGGTTCGCTCTGAAGCCGGATTTCACGGAGAAGCGCATCTGGGGCTTCTCGCGGTGCCGCAGGAGGCAGATGGAGCTGGGGAAGCCCTTGAGCCGCAGGCGGCTCACGCCCCCGTCCGGGAAGATGGTGAGCCTCGCGTGCGTGATCACGTCTTGGAGCTCTACGGTCAGGCTGTCGAACAGGTGACTTTGGTTGGGGGAGAGCTGAAAAGAGGCAGAGACAGAGAGAGGTCCTCGTCGCAGCAGGGTATGCGTGGCCAAATGCCCACACAGACCACAGCTTGCACTTGGGTGAAGAAGTTATTCAATGACGATAATTTGGCTGCACCCTCAGCTGCAGTGCAGCCCTCACCTCTGCCCTCACCTGTACCCTCACCTGCAGTGCAGCCCTCACCTGCACCCTCACCTGTACCCTCACCTGCAATGCAGCCCTCACCTGCACCCTCACCTGTACCCTCACCTGCAGTGCAGCCCTCACCTGCAACCTCACCTGCACCCTCACCTGCAGTGCAGCCCTCACCTGCACCCTCACCTGTACCCTCACCTGCAATGCAGCCCTCACCTGCACCCTTACCTGCACCCTCACCTGCAATGCAGCCCTCACCTGCACCCTCACCTGCAGTACAGCCCTCACCTCTACCCTCACCTGCAGTGCAGCCCTCACCTCTGCCCTCACCTGCACCCTCACCTGTAGTGCAGCCCTCACCTCCACCCTCACCTCTACCTTCACCTGTAGTGCAGCCCTCACCTCCACCCTCACCTCTACCTTTACCTGTAGTGCAGCCCTCACCTCCACCCTTGCCTCTACCCTCACCTGTAGTGCAGCCCTCACCTCCACCCTCACCTGCACCCTCACCTGCAGTGCAGCCCTCACCTGCACCCTCACCTATACCCTCACCTGTAGTGCAGCCCTCACTTGCACCCTCACCTGCACCCTCACCTGCAGTGTAGCCCTCACCTGCACCCTCACCTGCACCCTCACCTCACCTCCACCCTCACCTCCACCCTCATCTGCAGTGCAGCCCTCACCTCTACCCTCACCTGTACCCTCACTCGCAGTGTAGCCCTCATCTGAACCTTCACCTGCACCCTCACCTCCACCCTCACCTCTACCCTCACCTGCACCCTCACTTGCAGTGCAGCCCTCACCTCCACCCTCACCTGCATCCTTACCTACATCCTCACCTGCACCCTCACTTCCACCCTCACCTGCACCCTCACCTACAGTGCAGTCCTCACCTCCAGTGCAGTCCTCACCTCCACCCTCACCTCTACCCTCACCTGCACCCACCTGCAGTGCAGCCCTCACCTCCACCCTCACCTGCATCCTTACCTGCATCCTCACCTGCACCCTCACCTCCACCCTCACCTGCACCCTCACCTGCAGTGCGGCACTCACCTCCACCCTCATCTGTACCCTCACCTCCACCCTCACCTGCACCCTCACCTCTACCCTCACCTGCACCCTCACCTGCAGTGCAGCCTTCACCTCCACCGTCACCCACAGTGACGACTTCCCTCCTCCTTAATCAAGGAAGACACTTGTAGAATATCTCAGATTCCATCCCACAGGTGGACACACCATGATAGCCTTAAATATGCTAGTCACTCTTTCTAAAGAGTAAAATATAAAGTGGAAACTTTTTTCATTTACGTGTGACTAGCACGTGACAAGTTTTTGTTGTAACAGAATTCGACTGGAAATGTGGAAGTGGGGGGAAGGAAAGCCTGTCTTCTCATTTAAGCGCACGGATAAGATTTTTAGAAGCTTGTTCATTTCACTGTTGAGCTGAGCCGCAGCCTGGGCACTGTGTCTCAGCCCTTCCGAAGCGGACCCGCGTGCAGCAGCCCAGACCGCGTGCCGCCGCTAGCAGCCTTGCACACGCACCTTGGTGACCGGCAGCAGGGCTTTCCACTTGTGGGCTGGAAGCAGCCACTTGTGCTTGACCATATCCTCCTCTTCCTGGGTTGTCAGGATACACCCGTCCACTTTACAGCTGTCGGGAGAATTGCCTGTCGGAACGAAGCAAAGAGTGACTTTCTCCACTGCATTTACACAGCACAGCTCGGCGTATGGGACATCGGGCTTTTTTAAATAGGATCAAAAACCCAGCAAAGAACAAGCCATTGCTCTTTCTAAGCAAAAGCAAAGGTGCGGAGCATGTGAGAGAAGGAGCAACCGGTGTGTGATGGCTGGATTGCTCATGAAAGAGATGAAGGTTTGTTTTTCAGGGGAGTCAGAGACTGCCTGCCGCATGTTGATGGGCCGACGCATTTGGGTTTGAACGTACAGCATTCTCACTTTGAAACTTGAATGTATCTTGATAAGCTTCCTGAATTGCAGATTTAATTACTTGCATGCTGCTATGTGGCTCATCTGAAATTATTATGAAGCTGGAAAATATTTTCCTTATGGCATCATATTTTGTAATGTGTCAATAAAAAAAAAAAAAGAAGAAGCAGAAATACTGAGCTGAGTTAGCTACTTCTGAGCACCAAGCGCTCTGTGCTCAGGATTTCTGAGCGGTCTCTTCTCTCTTTGGAATGTCACAGGAATCATGGGCCCAGGGGCGTTAGAGGACCTTAGGGGAAGGGTCCCACAGTCTTTGTGGGGATAATTTCTGTGGGAGTTCTGCAAGACTCTAAGATCAAGAGAGGAGGGGTTGCTAACCAAGAACCCTGGCAGAAGAGGATGCTGAGTGCTCACATGCCCCCTTTGTGCCTCTTCTCTAAAAATAGTGGTCTCCAAGGTGGGTGAGCAAGCCCTGGAAACAGAAAGGTGACACAGGAAGAGAGCATCAGGGCTGCTGTTTCTCTTTCTCTGATACATGTATATGTGTGTGTGTGTGTATCAAGCTTTGCACATTGGAGGCAATGTATTTGTATGGACATAATACAGGTGGGCACTGCAGGCTCCCTCGCTGCCGTCAGTGTCATCGTGGTGTTCTGGGCAGCCATGTATCCGTGACCTACTGCAGCTAGGGGCTCCTGCTTGAGTGGGTCTACTGGTTGTTCCTGGGTTTAACTAAGCTGTCCCTCACAAAAATAAACAAGTGATTTAAACCATTCACACAGAGAACTGTGCATTAAGGAGGCTGCTAAATCCGTAAGCAGGCATGAACGACAAGAAAATCTCCGAGCTGCCACCTCACCTGCCCCTTACGAGGCACTCTGTCAGCCACACTGAAAAGGAAAAGCCACACCAGATCTAAAATGCAGGCTTCCCAAAATAAGTTAAAATGACCAAGGCTTGTTGAAATAATTAATTTCCACCCACTCCTACTGATGATGAACCTGGCCTTAAACATATATTGTGTCTTGATAAAATAGTTAATAATGGAGTAAAGTCATAATAATTTGCAAGACATTTAAAAATCACTCATCCAAAAATATGAAAATAAACTGCCACCATTTGTTCAGAGACAACAGTCATGAGATGCCCAATCCAAAACTTTTCAAATGTCACCTAACGATTATAAAAGTTCAGTAGCCTCTTTTGAACTTTCTTAATATGACACATGCATTTCATAAGAGAGTAAATATGGAATATTAGGGTTGCTTGTCCAAATTTTTTTTACTAATATTTAATAGAAGTGCACAATTTTGAAAATGTGTGGATCACTGCGTTAACAGTCAAGCCTGGAGAAGAAATGGTCACCCCCCACACCCATCAATCTGCTTAGGACCCCTTCTCTGTAAAAAGATGCCTCCTATCCCTGTTTTTCTCATGGGCTCTTCCCAAATTGAATTAAGAGCCTCTCCATTAAAAAGGATTATTGCATAATGGAATCTGGCATGTTTTTTGAGGTCACCGGGTCCAACTCTGAATTTTATAAAGCGGGTATTGGAGTTCAAAGAGTTCAGGTAACTTGCTCAAAGTGACGCAGCTGGAGTGGGAAAGCCAGGTCCATAGTCCGGCTGCCCTGGGTCCCACCCCCAGAGGACCACACTGTCTTTAGAGTAAGCGCACCCGTCATAAGGCGCTTCCTCACGGCTTTGCATTTACCTTTAAAATATCGGGTATCGATTTCAATATGCGTTATCACTCCAGGGTGTGCCAACCGGAAAACCGCCCACTCAGAGCCCGGAACCAGGAGCGTGCCACTGTCATCACTCTGGAATTCAGAAACAGGTAAGCTAACCTGGGGTCATTCAGGAAACCAAACCTGAAAGCCAACAGGTGAGGAAGGTTGACATGTTGCACTTTATCACACTGTTCCTTTATTTCTCACTATAAAAGATTGTTTTCCTGTGGCCTGGCGTGTAAATTACTTTGCAGGTAAAATGCCCCTTTGCTGTCACTCCTTATGTGCCCCCTCCGACTCATGCTGTCACTGGGTGTCATGTGATTTCCTACGTCAGTTACAGTCCCTGCAGACGCTGAACACAAAAGGATCTTTAATCCAGCCCGTAGTCCTCAAATCAGCTTGTCGTGACCTTTCAAAGTAGATATTTTCTTGGTCAAACCTATGCCAATGCACGATACACCTCCAAACCTTAGTTTCAAGAAAGGAGAGTTTATTCATTCATATCTAAAAGCACTGGGTGACGTGAAATCCGGCCCCAGAATGGAGAAGAGTGTATTTCTGGCCACGCGTTCCGTGGGATTTGCAAATGAAGAGTTTTGTCTTGCTCTGCTACTTTTTGGCTTCCTTATCGCAAATTATTTTTTTTTATTTTATTTTTATTTATTTATTTATTTATTGTTTTTGAGACAGAGTCTCGCTTTGTTGCCCAGGCTAGAGTGAGTGCCGTGGTGCCAGCCTAGCTCACAGCAACCTCAGACTCCTGGGTTCAAGCGATCCTCCTGCCTCAGCCTCCCGAGTAGCTGGGACTACAGGCATGTGCCACCATGCCTGGCTAACTTTTTTCTATATATATTAGTTGGCCAATTAATTTATTTCTATTTATAGTAGAGACGGGGTCTCGCTCTTGCTCAGGCTGGTCTCAAACTCCTGACCTCGAGCAATCTGCCTGCCTCGGCCTCACAGAGTGCAAGGATTACTGGCGTGAGCCCCCTCGCCCGGCCAGGACATCTTTAAACCAACCCTCCCCTACCCCATGTGCCTGGTTCCTCTCCCTCCCTGCCCGGATCTCGGAGAGCAGCCGAGGTGCATAGTTCCTCTCCTCTCTTACGTGCTTTAAAAAACAATACATATAACAACATGTATGTGGTGTGTTGTTGCTCCTGTAACACACAGAAACATAGTCTATATGTAACATATATGACAGTGACAATCCAAAGGACACAGGGTGGGACAAAGCTGTATTGGGCTAAGGACAGGAATCCAGAAGATAGCTCAAATCCATGGAAACAAATGAAGAAAACTGAAAACTATAAATAGAAAAGTCAGTATAACAAAACATAAATAAATATAAATATATACTTGCTCCTTTTTATTCTCTCAGCACTTTCAGAAAACAAAATTATATAAATGTAATTTATTATAAAGAATTCTAGCAGTGTACTGTCAGGTTTGCAACATGAGGGAAGATGAACTAGGGCTACATAGGAGTCATGTTTCTAAAAAGAAATACTGGATAAAATAGTGAAAAAATCATTAAAGAAATTAAAATGCTACTTGGGAAATATTAATGCAAAAGAGAGCATTAAAGGAGGAAAAGAGGAATAACACACATAAGACATATAAAAAACAAAAAGTAAAACAGTAGGTTTAAATCCAATTATGTCACTAATATTAAAGGCAATAAGCATTAAAAATGTACTAAATGCAGCAGGGCGTGGTGGCTCACGCTTGTAATCCTAGCACTCTGGGAGGCCCTGACGGAAGGATCGCTCAAGAACAGGAGTTCGAGACCAGCCTGAGCAAGAGCAAGACCCTGTCTCTACTAAAAATAGAAAGAAATTAGCAGTACAACTAAAAATATAGAAAAAAATTAGCTAGGCATGGTGGCACGTGCTTGTAGTCCCAGCTACTTGGGAGGCTGAGGCATGAGGATCACTTGAGCCCAGGAGTCTGAGGTTGCTGTGAGCTAGGCTGATGCCATGGCACTCTAGCACGGACAACAGCATGAGACTCTGTCTCAAAAAGAAAAAAAAAGTGCTAAATGTATTAAACAATCAAAATGCAAAGATTGGTCAGAAAACAAAATCCAACTATATGCTATCTACAGGAAACACATTATGCAAGGATACAAAAATATTGAAAGTAATAGGAAGGAAAAGTTGCATCATGCAAAAAACATCTGCAAGAAAGCTGGAATGGCTTTAGAGAGTACACTATATAAAGTAGACTTTAAAACAAACAAAAAAGGTTTTTAGAGATTAAGAAGGACATTGGATAATATAAATGTGTCCACCCGGAAGATATAGTACTTATAAACATCTATGCTTCTAACAACAGATCAACACATACATAAAGAAAAAGATGACAGAAATGAAAGGAGAAATAGACAACTCAACAATAATGATTGAAGACGTAAATATTCCACTTTTGTTAATGAATAAAACAACCAGACAAAAGATCATCAAGAAAATCAAAGGTTTAAACAACACTCTAAACCAACTACACCTCATTGTGCATGAAACATTCCCCAGGATATAGCAAATATGAGGCCATACAACCAAAAGATTGAAATAACACAATATAGGTTCTCCAATCCTAGCTCACACACCTCAGACTCCTGGGTTCAAGCGATCCTCCTGCCCGCTCCCGAGTAGCTGGGATACAGGCATGCCACCATGCCTGGCTAACTTTTTTCTATATATTAGTTGGCCAATTAATTTTTTCTATTTATAGTAGAGACGGGGTCTCGCT